AATAAATATAGAGACCCAATTTCAAGATTAATTGTGACCACTTATGCCAAAAGTAAATGGTCTCATTATATAGTCTCCCATTTGAAATTTCACGGACAAGAGTGATTGTGATTTTTTTATACCTAAAGTAAAATTTGTATGTTCTTTCAAAAAATAAAAAGTACATTTTTTCTAAAAAAAAAAGTTTATATGGAGCCGAGGCTTTAAACAATTATATTGGAGCCTACCACAAAAATTTCACTAAGAGTAGTTGGTTTGATGCCCAAATATCGTCAAATTGATCATCTCGACATCAAGCTTTATAGACATAAAAAAAAAAGAATTTTAAGCTTTGAAAATAATGTATTTTGTAACGCATTTTAAGATCATCAATTTTCAAGTTTTCAGAGATACGTCGATCTACCGTTTTTGAAGCTTTAGACTTTATAAATAAAGGTAAAAACATACTTTAAAGCTAATTTCATTTCCAATATTGAAGGCACGCTCTAATTTGATGGTTTAGAGAGCCTAGGCTCTATACAAACATGACTCCTTTTTAAGATACAACTTACAAGGGAGGGCGGATACAAACCTGGTTTTCCTGCAGAACCGTTTCACGCATGGCAAACTTAAACCTCGCTTTTGAAGCATCGTTACACGTTGTCAAAACCAAACTGATTTCATGATGTACGTCATTCATGTCAATCTTGCCCCCTTTTGCATAAAGGCATAAGCCTTCGCCCTTGTGCCGAGCGTTTTATTCGGTGTAGTACTCCCTCATCGTTTTCGATGTGGGGCAAATGCTGTTTATCACTCATCGACATGCAAATGGGTATAACGTATCGTCCATTTACACTCATCGAAAAAGTTATTAATGTGTCGTTAATAAGTTATTAATGTGTCGTTAATAAGTTATTAATGTTATCACTCATTAACGTTAATGAGTTACTAGTTATTAACTTGTCGTTAATAAAAAAAACTTTGCTTTATTATAACATTAATTGGTATAACGTGTAACTCATAAACATTAAAGTTATTAACTTGTCGTTAATAGCTCGAAAAAGTTTGTATAATGTATTATTTTTATTATAGTTGTAAATAATTTTTTTTAAAATTTTGATGATATTATAAGATAAATTTTAAATTTATTTATACAGGGAAATTACATCTCAATATTCTCATATTGGTGAAAAAATGAAAGTTCTTAATGTAGTACGTTAATTTTTTATTATATTTCTAAAAAATAATATTTTTAATAATTTTTAATAAATTTTTTGGATTGTTTTTTAAGCTGAATTTGATCGATTTGACCGATTCCCGATCCGAAACATCAATTTATCAATCCGGATGGGTTTTTGCGGTACCCGATTCGGGGCACTGATCCATTTTTTAAACCACTGGTTGCTTGAAATAACCTCAACGAAACGGAATGACAAAATGTTGCTCGATATGTAAATGGCCTTCAACAAACTATCAGAGATGATGTTTTTCTACATCGGTCATGGACTTTAAATGAAGTTTTTCAAGTTGCTTTACGAGTAGAAACTAAATATCAATGGAGCAACGATAAGTGATTTGATATCCAGAATGAGGTTTCGCGCCAACCAAAATTTAATGAAGAGAAGAGGGATATTGCAAAGTTAACACGTTATCGATGGAATGAGCCAAAGCCTCGAGCATTTGAATGCCCCAAAAAAGAGGATGGAGGTACACTTAGTTAAGTGGGCAAAGTTCTAGAAGAAAATCAAGTTCAGGAGATAGTTTTGTAGGCCGTTTTGTCTCAAGCTCGAAGTCGAGTTTCTCCCATCCCGGGGAGAATGATGCAAATAAAAATTGGATTTTATTTATTTTTTATTTATTTTAATTAGGAATAGGGAGAGAGCTAAGCTAATGTTAAAGTTAAGGAGGAGGAGGGAGGATTTTTTATACGTGATTTGTTTTGGGAAGGTCTAATTTTTTAATTTAGACAATAAGATATAGGTAAGGTAAAGATCTTTTGGTTTAGGAAATAATTAGTGGTAGTTATCTTTTACTTTTAGAAAGGCTAATGTGGAAGTTAGAAAGAGACAAAATAGGGATGCAATGTGAGAGAGAGAGAATATGGAAGAGAGATAAAATAGGGAAGGTACGAACTTTTTTTTGAAAGATAGACTTTATTTTTTTTTGGTTTTTTTTTAGTTGTTTATTTATTTTATTTGAAGTCTATTTAAATGGAAGATGTCCCTCATTGTAAACAGATTAGAGAATGATTAGAGAGTGAGTTGAATTAAGTTGATCTTGTGATAAGATCTTTTGTCCCTTGCAGTCCCTTGCAGACTTTGTTTTGGGGTGGATTCCCATGCTCTCCTTGAGAGAGAGTACATTCTCTTAAGCGTTTTTTTATTTTTTTATTTTTATTATTCTGGTTGTTATTTTCTTTCTGCATAAAATGAATCAAAGTATGACAACCCCTATTTTTTGTAATGCGCATTACCAAATGTGAAAAGAAAGTGGTTTATTGAGGGTAGGAAACACACAAAATTTCATATTAACCTTAATTATAAAAAATCAAAGTATTGTTCATTTTTTTTTCTTTTAATCAAAATGCTTGGAAGGGTGAACATCCACATTATACTAGTGTTTTAGGACTTGGTCTGGTTGGCCCCTTGCTGCGAGTACCAAGGTAAAACAGGATAATAAAAAATTAAAAATTCACAAATAGCATAAAATTTCAGCATGAATATATAATACTTTTAAATGTAATATGGAGGTTAGTATGAGTTTTTATTGTCATATGCTCTATTTTTTTATTTTTCTCTCTTTTTGGAATTTTTTTGAATGGTTTGTAACCATAAATCAAATTTTTTAAATCCATTTTTTATATTCTGTCAGCTAATTTGAATTTGTTACTTTTATTTTGTTTCATGTTTATAATAATTTTTATTTTGTTTTCAATAATTTTTATTTTTCATAAATTTTTGGCCCCTATGTCTATTAGAGGATGAAAACTAAGGTTTACAAAGACTATGGAACTAACCATGTCTGTCTTGTACTCTATTTTTTTATATTTTCCCCATTTACAAAAAGAATAAAGTTTATATAGAGCCGAGGCTTTAAACAATCAAATTAGAACCTACCTTAAAAATTTCATTAAAAGAGTTGTTTTGATGCCCAATCAAATTAGAGCCTATATAGTTTTTGAAAGTTGTTGCATTATATTCTTATACAAGTATTGCATAAAATGATTCTTATATATGTGTGCGTGCAGCAAATATTAGACACTCAAGAAACATGCTACAAAAGAAACATGTTTCTGTGTCGGTATAACACTGCATATCAGTTTGGAGTGCGAGGTAAGGATTCAAACAAAACTGACCTACCCCATTTCCATAGTTAACATTAACACCGCTGAACTATTAAAAAAAGTATAAGTTTACATTAACCATCTTGATGCCGCCTTCTACATATTATCCCCATTTGGTTTACACTTTCAGTATTATAGGGGAAAGTTCATATATGGTTGCAACCTTTTATTATAGAAGTAAGGTGCACTTTAAAAATCCAGTAGAAAAGAATGTTTTGAAGTTAAAGAGCCAGTCAATTGAACATCTCAACCTTGAGCTTTATGGATATAAAGAAAAGAGAATTTCAAATCATAAAAATAATGTATTTTGTAAAAAGTTATAAATTGTCTATATTAAAAAAAATTTAAGTGTTTATAGATTTACTTGATCTACACAATTTTTTAGATTTTAATTTAATAATTAGAGTTGTTCACGACATCATAAACTAGAATTATATCTTCTAGCAAAATTTAGAGGTGCACCTTGTTAGGGGACTGAATCCTTTTTTTTTTCCACAACCATAATGGTCAAGATCGGTTTAAGAAGGCTGACGACCTTAAATTTTCCTTTAACCCATTCAAAGCCGAGGTAAAGGAGGTGGATTGTATTAAGTAGACAACCAACGTAAGACTATACCAAAACTTTTCATGAATCGAGAATGTCATATAGTCGATCCCAATTAATTAGGAAAAAAGCTCTGACGATGATGATGACGAATGGTCAAGATCGAGATGATCGATTTGAAGGTTTTTTATGCCAAAATTAGAATTTTTCGTTCTGTGAGTTTTGAGGTAAAGCTTTACTTATTTTTGATTGGGCAGCAACCCTATTAAAACATTTTCTTTTATAAATTACATTGCCTTTTTGGTTTGGATACTATTTCTATAAAGCCCAGGGTTATTGAGAAATAGTAAAGTCTCACATCAAAACTTCATACGGATAAAACTTTGTGCATGGGAAACCCCTATGATGCTTCGGAATCTATTTTCACCATTAATTATAAAATTTGTATATAAAAAAACAGTCCAGAATGTGAGTACTTGAAAAAGATAGTCTTGAAAATATATTCTTAAAGTTTAAAATACTAATTTTTTCGTATCAATAATTAGGGGTGGCAATGGTCACCTGAGTAGACCTGGGACCGACAGCTATACCCGATCTCAAGTCTAGGTAAAGGTCAAAATTTTGGACCCGAATACTATATGGGTGTGGGTCCGGGTCCAGTTGTACCTGTAATCATAGGGTATATGATGACAATTATACATATTTAAACACACGCTAGATGTTCATATTGTTATAATATTGACGACATTTACAGTATTATTGGCAAAAAAAAAGAAAAAGCTCATGTTAATACGGTATATGATGATAAAAAAAAGTAATAATAATAATAATAAGAAGCTCATAGTCATAGGGTGGCAATGGATCCGACCAGTAGACCCGGGACCCATGGGTCCGGATATGGGTCCGAATTTTGAAACCGAATAGTATTTGGGTCTGGATCTGGGTTCCGCATCGCACCCGATCCATTGCCGCCCCTATCAAAAATAGTCCCCAATTCAGACGATCGATTTGAAGATTTTTGTAGACTACGAAACTAAAATTGTCGGTGAGGTCAGAGACGTGGCTTTACTTTTTTGTTTTTCCGAAGTTTTAACCTTTTCCTTTTGGTTTTCACTTTCCAATGAACTATATATCGTTTGATTGCCGTGGATCACAAGTCTCTCTTATTCTCCCTGGACTGTGGGTCTCGGTTCTGGTAAGTCTCCTCGTTCCAGACTCATGCTTGTTTCAATGGCTGATCTCTCTCTCTCTCTACCTCAATTATTATGGCCTCCTTGTTCGTCACTCTCTAGATTTGAAACTTTATATTACTACTGGAATGGGTTGATGATCTCTCTCTCCATAGCAGAGACTTCCATTACAGCCTACTTGTTTAATAGCGACTAATATCAGCTCCGTCACTGATTATCTTGTTTGTTTCTCTTTCTATGAACAAGGACATTTTTTTTTAATGCAGGAAGTTGTCTCAAGAAACAACCTGTTCCAAACAAAAAAAAGACATCAGAACAATCAAAGGGTTTGTCGACATTAAAACGACTTTTTTCAATGGATTTCTGAGGTGCATCCGTAGTTCTACATTATAAGGTTGCATCCTAATATAAACTTTTTCCTATTTATATTCGATTTTATGCTCCAAATAAATCTGTGATATATTTCGTTGTGACAACAGAGTAAACACTTTTGTTAGATTTATTGAAAGTTTAGACAATAAATTGTCAAGTATCACTCTAACGATATTAAGTAGGGTTAAAATTATTATTCAATGGCTTTAATGTATCTATATAATAACTACAAATCATAATCCTATATTATGTCATCTTTATATACCCGATTTTTTCACTCCGTTCTTTTAGACAAATCTGAATTATTCACGACTTTATAGTTTTACCTCATTGTTTGGCGATCTGTATTTTTTACCCAATTTTTTGGACCGACTTTGACTTTTTTAAAATAAAACTGATTCATTACCATGTATTATCATTCTTCCACTTGCCAACTATGTTCTATACTCACCTAAACTGTTCCCCGATGCCTAAGGATGTGCTGTTTCCCTTCTCTTAAACTCATGTTTCTATTAATCACACCCTTAGCTTGTTTTTCGATCTCTCTCTTGCAGTGCGGTGCAGTTAGAAACAATGATTGCCCAAGTGAGGAGAGCATGGGTTGAAAGCATCGCAAAGAATGCGAAGAATAACAATGGTTTTCTTGTGTGCTCACCAACGACGCAACTGTGTAGAGAGAGAAAATACCTTGTATTGTAATCAGTATTGAAACTATATTTTTCGAAATTTTTTTAAGGTGGGCTCTAATTTTATTGTTTTGAGCCTAGGCTCTATACAAACCGCACCCATATATATATATATGGAATAATTTATAATTTACAATTTGTTAAATTACAAAGGTTGAGGTTAAATTGAGTTGTGATGGTGAAATTACTAAATATAAGATGTCATTTTTTTTTATAAAAAGTATATGATTAGACCGTTAATTTTTTGTATATAGTAGTCATATTAATCATGATAATTAGATGTGAAATTGGATGGCTGCATTTATTTCATTTACCAAGCTCAAAGTTTAAAAGAAAGTTTCTTAAACTGTGTGACACATCAAGTTATTAGATTTCACATGGGATATTTGTAATGTTGTTTACAGTGCAAATCAGAGAGTCAAATCTATACCACAAACTGATTTTAAAAAAGTGATAGAGAGTGGGAAAAATCAAATTATGATATGAGGCCAGATCTATTAAAAAACGAATAGATATACTCTCATATCAGTGGCAAAGTCATCATCGATCCAAAAAACACGAAAGATTAGTAAAATAAAAATAAAATTCTAGATCCAACAAAAAAACTAAAAAATAAAGGAAAAGATGATGAGAAAAATACTTGGCCAAGCCAGTTGGCCCGGCAAACCCGAGGCTTCAAGGCCTCTCCCGTATCAGGACCGCAATGGCTATGTTTATACCGGGGATCCTCTTTGACTCTCTTCAATGTTGACCAAGCCTTGGCTTGGTTGAATGGTTATCTTGGATCTGTTTTAAGCTTAGGGTTGCAGGTTTAATGGCTTGGATTTGGCTAGAACTTATCTAGATCTAGTATCTCTCATGGTTTTCTCGCTGGTCTCTCCAAGGCTCAGGTTTTTTGGCTTATGGGTTAAAAAAGTCCAACCCTAAATGGGTCACAAAATGTGTTTATATAAAGGCTCAAATCATACTCGACTGAATATATACCAATTTCAAGCGGATTTGGCAGCTAAATTTCCATTTTGGGGGGTCAAAGGGAGCCCAAATCTGACCAAAATTTGTAGTTACGTTTTTGTGATATTTCCTATCAAAAAATGGGAAAGGTTTCTATACTTCCCCTACAACATAGAAGATCTATCCAATTTTGATCAAGAGAGCCACTCACCATTTGATCTTAAATCCAACGTCTCAAAGTATTTTATTTTTAGTTTTTTTATACAAATTGTATGAATATAAAATTTGGTACGTGCCATCTTCTCATTGGGGGTGCACCTATAAAAAATATTAAAAATAATTTTTTGATAAAATATAATGATGCAAATACCCCTTGATGTTTTCAGGGGTATTATGGCCATTTTATTTTATTGAAAATATTATTTTTTTTATATTTTTCTCTAGTTTGAGTTTAATAGAGAATTGGACATACAAAATTTGGTGTTAAAATAGTTTGTAGAAAAAAAATAAAAATAAAGTAGTGTAGATACGTGACATTGTGATTAGGGCAATCTTAGCCCTCCATTCAGAATGAACGGTTGGATAAGAGGAAGTATATAAGTTTTATGTTGTAGGAAGCATAGAAGCTTGTCCCCAAAAAAGTAGGTAAAGATAAGCTATTTTGCTATTTTTACTTGATTTTTTTCTAAAATAGTGGTTTTGTTGGATTTTGGTTTATAGGACAGGGATCACGGATTATGATGGTCTATGGTTCGAGGGTTTACTGAGATAGTGTGGTCTAAAGGTTCAAGAGTATCATAGAATTTGTCAGTTTTAAAAATAGGTTGTCGCAAATGTACCAAAAGTAAGTGGTCTCATTATATACCATCCTTTAAAAAAATGTAATTTTAATGATATCTTTTAAAAATAAAAGGCACTTTTGTGATTTTTATAAGGAAAAAGTTTATAAAGAGTTCAGGTTCTAAATAATCAAATTAGAGCCCGCATCAAAAATTTCACTAGAAGATGTTGTTTTGATGCCCAAATATCCTCAAATTGATCATCTCGTCATCAAGATGCATAGGCATGAGAAAAAAATAGATTTCAACTTTTGGAATTATAGCAATTTCTGACACATTTTTGGATCGTTAATTTTGAAGATTTTCAAGTTTTCATAGATCTGCTCCATCTACACTATTTTTAAAGTTTTAAATTTTATAATTAAAGATGAAGATATGGTTTAAGGCTATCATAAAAAATTTAAATATTGAAACCACATTTCTCAATACTATTTGAAGGTGCGCTTTACTTTGATTGTTTAGAGCTTCAGCTCTATACAAACCACATCGCTTTTATAAAGGATAAAGTTAAAGTCCTTACCAAAAGATCAGATAAAAGTACTTTATAGATAGGCCGCAGCTTGCATACGGATGCATCCGTAGGTGTAGAGGTAAGGTGCATCTTCAAATTTTATCATGGTATATAATTTTGATATAAAATATTCTTAAGATTATCTCAAAATCTATTTTTATATCTAATTATAAAATTTTAAATTTAAAAAATGCTTAAAATCAAGTTAATCTATAAACATATGAAAATCTTAAAAATAGATGGGGTAGATAATATGTTGTAAAATGCACTATTTTTGAGACTTAAAATCTTTTTATTTTTCATAGTCAATCATCTTGATGTCGAGATGATTAATCACAAGGTTTTCAATATTAAAACAACCTTTTCCGATGGATTTTTGAGAGGCATCGTAGTTACACATTATAAGGTAGCATCCTTATATAAACTTTTCCTTATAAATATAAGGGAAAACAATATATGGAAAAAGTTCATACAGAGCCAAGGCTCTTAACAAATAAATTAGAGCCCACCCTAAAAATTTCGATAGAAGATGTTTTTGTGATGCTTAAATATCCTCAAATTGATCATCTCGACATCAAGGTACATGGACATGAGAAAAAAAAGGATTTTGAGTTTTGGAAATAGTGCATTTTATAATGCGACTTTGGATCGTCAATTTTCAAGTTTTCATAGATCTGCTCGATCTACACTAGTTTTGAAGCTTTAAATTTTATAATTAAATATTAAAATATATTTTAAGGCTTTCACAAATATTTCCAATATTAAAACTACATTTCTCAATACTATTTGAAGGTGGGCTCTAATTTGATTGTTTAGAGTCTCAACTCTATACAAACTGCACCCGTTAAAGATACCCCCAATTTCAACTTTCTACACATCCTACCACTTTACCTTTTTTGTTATACTCTAAACCCAGACACTATTTTTTCTTATATTTATTTCAAGTTAAATAGTCAAAGCATTTTAAGACTAAAATGCCATTTTTTTTTCTCTTCCCCTTTTTTTTCTTTATGTCTTTTTAGACCCCTGGCCCTCTCTTACTTTTTCTCTATTTCTCTCTTTAGTCTCCCTCATTCTTTCTCTCTCTACCTCTCACACCCTATAATGCGGTTCGAGATATTTTTGTACCAGACCGCATTGGATTCCAATAACTTTCACATGACCATAATGCGGTCCGACACAAACGTGTCTGGCTGCATCATGGGAATATGAGTGGTAGAGAGAAAAAGAATTAGGGAAAATAGAAAGAGAAAGAGAGATAGAGAGAGTAAGGGAGGGAGAGAGAAAGAGTGATGGAGGGTGAAAGAGAAAGAACGATACATAGAAACAAGTGGAGAGACAAAAAAAGATGATGGGTGAGAGGTTTTTTGATAAGAAAAAATAATGTTGGGGTTTAGAGTATAATAGAAAAAGTATGGAGAATGGATGTGTAAAAAATTGAGATTGGGAAGATATTTATAATTTTTTAAAATAAAATTATATTAAATTAAAATTTAAAATATTACTATAATTTATAAAAATTTCAATTTTACTCTTAATTAACAACTAAGTTATTTCTTATTGCTGCCCACGTATATTGGCTCTTTAGGGATGCTTCAATATTTACAAGCACAAGTGTCTCTTCCCGAGGGGGGTCTTGGCGTTGGTAAGTCCTCCTCATTCCACTTTCATGCTTCTTCTTTGATCGAGACCTTCGTCGCACATCTATTTTGACAAATGACCTTCGTTGCTCATCTCCTTCTCGAGTAAATGCCTCCATTATTGCCCACTTCTCTCTCTTTAGAATAATGGCCTTCGTTGCTGCCTGTCTGTGCTCTCTCTATAATGGAAACTTCACATTACTAAATACCCATTACTGCCTGGTATTTTCTTTCGTATTACATTTGCAGATTTAAATGTCTGGCTGCTGATAAATTGGAAAATATGAAAAAGAATGTTAAATTAGAGGATCTAGTTAGAGATGTTTTGGGGAAGGAGATGTTGAAGTATCGCTCGACAGTCGCAAGGAGCGATTGGTCGAGGGTGAACTCGTCAAGAGCACAGATCGTGTGTGCCTGCTTAGAGGCAATTTTTTTTTTTTTGGAGATGGGTCGGGTTTTGACTGAAGAGTAAATACAAGAAACTGTAGAGTAAATATTAAGAAAAAATAATGTTGGGATAGGGTGAGAGTGAAAAAGCACGGGGTAGGATGATTTTGGGTGTCTATAATTTTCCCTGTTATTTAAGAGTAAGAGAATTACAATGCTGATGAATACTGATGATGAAGGTAGAGAGAGAGTTAGGTTCCCCATTTTTGCCATTCTTTTTACTTAAAAATAAAAAAGTATGTAAACACAGGGTAAAGGGTCCCCTGTTCTGAAACTTGTCTTAACTTTTGTTCCTTAGTGAGTATGAATGTCCAGTCTTTTTTCCGGTGTGGTGACAAAATCTTAATAAGAATATATTTTTGGGTGCTTAGTGAGTATGCATGTCCTGTCTTTCTTGTTCCTGTGTGGTGACAAAATCTTAATAAGAATATATTTTTGGGTTCAATGAGGGGATGGTAGAACTCCATTTACTGCCTTTTAACATTAATGCTCTTGTTTTTGTTTGTGGGTTATATTAATGCTATTGTTCTTGTTTGTGAGCTATGGTGCAGTCCGTTGCTTTGTAAATAAGGATTTCTTGGTTGTTACTGTATTGCTCGATAATTACATATTATAGTTTAATCTGAAATTTTGGGAATCGCCAAAGAATCAACATATGATTATT